TGCCCCACAATTTTGATGTAAAACTTCTACATTCACAACACTGTTAAAGATTTAGACCCATTTTCAAGTCCTTGTTGTGTATTTAATTATACTGGCAACTGAAATTTTGAATCATATTTCATATCTGAATTTACTAATTCTCCATGAAAACATCTCAATACATGTTGACATTAGGGATGTAAACCATTAAGTTGATACTAATAGCACATCTTGGTTTGTTTCATGGAGTGTAATTTCTTATGATAAATGGAAAGGTCTAAGTTACAAATTACAGATGGTAGCAAATTGTGCCTTGTGAAGCTGAAAACTCGCTAGAGGGTGATTCTGTGTCATGGCTTATTATTGTGTTTTGATGCCATGTTGGACAGATTGGGGAGTCAGGGATCAGAAGGCCACTTTCTATGGCACTATGCCCTAAGAATGCTGACTATCTTTTTTATGCATAAATTTGTAATAACCTGACTGTGTTTATGTGCCCATCTGGGTGAAGTGATTGTGATGATATTTTGGCTATATTAGAGGGTACAGTATATTTACAATTTAAATCAGTGTCTCCTATGAATGTTGTACTGAAGTCTGTTAAAGTTTAAATGCTATCACAGGGTGTGAATTGTTCACTTTATGCTGTACCTTGTTTGTTATTCTGGCTATTTAAAAAAGAGTGTGTAGTCTCCATACAGGAGTGCAGACTGATGTGTGATAACACACTACAGATTTGTATTTTTTCTTCATTTGAGAGACTATGATTATAATTATCTCTCAATCCACAATTCTAGGACACAAAACAAATTAAATGTCGTATTTTGAAACAATGTTCTGTTGCCACAGTAAGGGATGGTGTCGCTTGTCTGTCAACTTGGCCTTTTGGAGAATGCAGTTCTTGTGCGGTCACTGCATACCTGTATCTGTGCTACAAGATACTTCACTGTAGCTATCCCCACATTAAATTCTGGACCTAATCTCTCATGAAACCTCTCTAAAGTAATATTTTACAAGAGGAATGTCAGAGTGTGGCCAGGTCTTGCTCGTGGTCAAGCTACAGGCAACTGTCTTCATAGAACACCGCTGAAAATAAAACTAATTCATGCCAGCTTAATTATATGACATATTTTGACAGATTGAGGCCCTCATCTCCAGTGCAATTCTGAAATAACAAACAGAATTAGCATCAGTGCTACAACATTACTAACTTCATGCAGCTGAGTTCTTGGTGAGAATTACATTCTCCTTCCTTTTGTGGAATCCAAAGGTTCATTACCATGTTCACACAAGCCCACCACTGGACCCTGTTGTGAGGCAGATGAATTCAGTCCACACCCTAGCTCTCTTTTTTAAGATCCATTTTAATATTATCCTGTCACTTTTACTTATGCTCTGCATACATACATATTTATGGATCCATAAGTTAGGCAGATACAAGTAGGATGTGAAATAAGTCATAATAATATACATTTTCAAGTACAGTTCATACTATTATAAAGATTTGGAAACATGGACAGACAAAGACTTTTGAGTTGGCACTCTGATTACTAAGACTGGCCATTGAATTTGTATTGCAGGTAGTGTCAGCAGTGCTGGGATGAGGCCAGAAATGTGTTCTTTAGTTTCGAGGACTCCACAGGAGTTGTGTTAATATTGTTAGTCTAGTTTATTTGTGTCTAGTCTGTCATTTGTATGTACATGTAATTATAAAATATACAGATATTAACCTCAGTTATTTTGCTCTTCCATACCCTCCAGGATATCCTGCTTTGAAGACATTGTGTTTAGTTTGGGACTGATAGTTTGAATAAAGGTTGCATGCTTTATCTTCAGGGTTGTCCGGTACAGTTGTACATTGTTTATATAAATACTGCTTTGTCATCAGGTAGGAGTTTTATTAATTCAGGTCATCATGAGAGGAAAATCTGATGAATCCAATGCCCTTGTTTGTTTGAGTTTTTTTTAATAAAATGTGTGTTTAGTTAATCCCCACACATAAGATTACATTTATAGTAAAGTACATTGTATGTGTCACCCCTTCATAGTAACTTTGAAATTTTAATAGATTTTCATGAAACTCAGTATGAGTGTAACCAGTGGTTATCCCACTTTCATGCATTCTCAAGTCATACAAACTATTAGCAATATGGCAGTATTAAGGTATGTGTAAGAGCAACACTAGAGTCAAGTAACAGTTTATTTTGCGTGGTGGCAAGTAGGAATTCTTTGTTATCATTTGTGTTGCCATAATATGTTTAAATCTTTCTTAATGTCAAGTGAGCACCAAACTGTGTTGGAATTTTCATCTTTTGAAACAATGTGCCAGTTTTTACGAAATTGTACATGAACATTATGTCATGATGATAAAAAACAGTAATAATAACCGAATTTAGCACGTAGTGGTTTGCACTTTTGCTACGTATTTGCGAGTTCCCTTGACGAAATCTCTGCCCGGAGACCAGACCTCCTGTATGAGGTTTTCCTCAGTCCCCAATGCAAATGGTGGGAAAGGCCTGCCATACCGTAGGCCACTACCATTTCCTTCGAAGTAATTGTTGATCTGCCATCATTCGACTTGAGCTTCAACAAGAATATATGATACATGTTATAAAACAATATCTGTTTTAATAAGAATCTTTGGTAGTACTTCAAGTGTTCTGCACTCTGGTGAGTGCACATGTAAATAGTCGTATTATAGTATAGGTTTCAGTTTTGTCATGCATGGTTGTAATATTTTTACTTCGACTTCTTATATCGATTATACTATCGTATCTTATTCTCTCCCCTCATTTGTCATGGCATGTTGCAGGAAGGATAGAAGAAGCCTGTGTTCAACTGTATGCAGTAACATTAATTTACAACCGATAGATGGCGGTGTCTATGATTTGACCATGAAGTATGGCTGCCTAATCAGGGAAAGGGTTCGTAAATTTATCTTCGTTCACTTGCCCCGAACATTTTATGTTCTGTAGGTGCACAGTTTACAACCTTAAATAGACTCTTGTTTTCTAATTTGAATGCTATTTTATGTATACCGTAAATCGAGAAATATAATCCAACCAAGAATATCGGCTGAGCTCTTTGGTCCTGCCCTATCCTCGGGCTGTGGGCACGGCCGAATGGGAGTAGAATGGAGACTGTCTTAAATGCATTAGAATTTATCAAATAATAATGTTTATTTATTTGGTTATTACCTGAAGATATATAAACATGACATGTATAAAGATTTAGGCGTTATCAGCGTTTGAATTCAATTCCAGGTTAACGTTGGGAAAATTATGATATTTCGTGCATGGTGTTAACAGTGGCTGCAATTGTGCATGTAATGCATTCAGTATGCTAGTAAGTTGTAACTTGGATGCGTTGAATATATTTGTTCAGTATATTATGCGTTATTCGCTTGTTCGCATTGAAGCACATGGGCATGGAACTGGAATAAAGCTGCAGTATTGCATTGAACCCTTTTGTTTTTGAGTTTTGGTTAATGGCTGTGATAGTGTTGAATTCTTTCTGTATTCCATCATCATAGAATTACACCTGGTATAATTAGCACAGTCCTGTGAACTGAACGCAGAATTGAACTTGGTTCTCTCCTTGCATATTTCATGATTACAATGTTTGTTTGTAGTTCCATAGTATGTGTTGTTTTATGTACCCACTGAACAACGTGTGTGCCACTTTTCACCAGGATACCATTTAACATAGAATGGCCGCATCATGTTCATCTGCGAATGCATCGTCGAACGATAAGACTGAGTGTACGAGTCCCAGTCCAACAGAGACTGTGTGCCTGGAGTTGTTGGACACCCTTACAGATGGAAAAGAGGGTGCTGGGCCCTCTGGAGTGGTGTGTGGTGATAGCGAAGGCTCAGTGGTGGGGGACAAATGCTTGTTGGACACAGAGGAGGGAGATGATGGAAGCTGTCATGCTGAGGAGTGCGATGAAGAGGGGTGGGTGGAAGTGGACGATGGGGCAGAGGGGAGTGCTGGGGAGGAAGAAGAAGAAGAGGATAAACTGTTGGACAAATTGCAGTCGAGTGAAGGGACCGCTGTGTTGCCATCTGCTGCCGATAGTGCAAGTGCCATAATCCCTAGGCCCTGGGTGAGCAACTGTCTATTTTGTTATTTTTGACCAGGTCACACATTTCTTGTGAGAGTGGTGAAGCAGGTCAGTTTGGTGCCTGTCTATGCTTAGATAAAGTAATTTGGTAATGGTAAAGTACTTTAAATGCATATTCTTTTTGTACTGCTTGTGTGCTGAGAGGTCCACCAACCACACTCCTACCTTCTCTCTGATGTGGGCACGTGCCACGACTTGTGACATGCCCCAACATCAGTCTTGCTGTCCTGAAGTGGATGGTAATTTGCACTGAATCCCTGTCAGTAAGATTACAAATACACACATAAGAAATGTTTATCTGTTTAAGAATGTTGCAGTTAGCTTAGTGAAATTCATTGTATGATATTTGGTATAAGGTGTGGAAATATTCAGGGAGGTTGATAAAGGCGATTAGCTTGTGGTCTGTTATCTCACAGATTCCATTTCAATCCCAGTATTGTTCAAACGTGCTTAAATCACAGTATATAAATTTTAATTGTTTTTTTTTTTCCACCAGCGGAAGCGGAAACTTGAAGTACAAAATGGGTTTCCGTGCAAGAAACTTTTCCCAGAGGATAAGACTGCCATTTTGAGGTAAGAGATTGTTCTGTTTGTTGCGTGTTTACTAACCAACTCATAAGTGCTATTGTCCCAATAAGGTTTCTTCCATGGTTAAGTCATTATACTTAGGTTAAGTAGGACATTGGGGTTTATTTGATACACGTGTATCCATGAAAACCTCAAATCCTACTTAGGCTGTGCCCTCCTAATGAACACTTGGAACAATGCATGGGAATCACAAGTAAAATTAAACGTGGTATTGAAACATTATGCAGGCTAAAGTAGTCTCAAATATGTAACTAATGACTGATTTTGATACAGTAAATTTTTGAGTAATATCTAAACCTATTGTGCCTAATTTAGTACCATTTGTAATAAGTTAGAGAACCTAACCTGCCGTACTGCAACACTTTGGTTAGTGATTTTCTATGTTATTACAGCAAGGAGGTCTGGAAAGAACTTCAGATTCTTCAGTCTACATAGTGAACTACAGCAACAAAATACAAATTAATTTGAAATTTAGTGATTTTTTTCTGTGTGTACTTTTCTCTACTACATTTTCTAACTGCATGAAATTCACACTATAAGATCATGGTTTTGTACCTTCATCATGTTTATTTGTAAGTTTTAACATATACGAGGTGCGATCAGAAAGTTTCTAGACTGCGCCTATAAAAACCCGTACACTTATCTCAGGTATTAAATTCATCCATCACCCTCAAAGTAGTTCCCCTGGGAGTGAACACAACGATCCCAGCGCTGCTGCCAAGCCTGGAAGCATCCCTGGAAATCTTTCTTTGTCAGCCTGTCAAGCACCATCTGCGATTCTGCCTGAATCTCTTCTATCGTCTCAAATTTCCTTCCATTTAGCTGAATTTTCATCTTTGGGAAGTGGAAGAAGTCACGCGGAGCTAAACCTGGCGAATAAGGAGGGTGCGGGATGATGGCCATGGTATTTGAGGCCAAAAACTGCTGAACTTTGAGGGCGGTGTGCGCTGGCGCGTTGTCATGATGCGTCGCATGTGGAGTTCTTCCTTTAGAATAAGCTGACAGGTCCCATAGCCTATCCCAACAATGTCGCACAAGTCGTTGATGGTACGACGTCGATCTTCGTAACAGTTTCGGGCGTTGTGCTCGAAGATGGTCGTCCAGAACGCTCGTCATCATCGACAGAGGTTCGGCCATTTTTAAAACGTGAATGCCACACAAAAGTTTGCGGACTCCCCAAATGCTTGCTTTAGCATTCCATAGGTTTCCGTAGCCGTTTTGGCAAGTCTTTGGCAAGAAGCTCGTACTACATCCGATTCGCCCTCTATTGACACAGTCTTGAAACTTTCCGATCGCACCTCGTATTTAAAAATTATGCATGCGGAAGTTGTAGGTTTGCTTATGATGCGTCTCCATACATGTAGCTAGAGTTGATCACCAGTCATCACGTCGTCATGCTGATATGGCTCTCGTGTTTATGTTTCATGTTCCACAAAAAGAAACTGCCTTAACCTAAGTTTCATATTTTCTAATGACTTCATTATCACAAAGAATATGAGGACCCTCCGCACGGCCTCCCACCTTCGTACTGTCAGTGACAGGAATTTACAAAACAAAGGTGGGAGGCCACAGTGCAATTGTCTTCATGCCAACCTTTTGTGAAGAGCCATTGATTGGTGCAGCAGTTTCCGTGCCGACTGCCTTACCTCAAAGGGGAAATCTGCAAATGGAAAGTCTGTTTCTGTGACTTGCTTTGGAAGTGTGGTCATTGAGCCATCGTGGGTGTTCACGGATGTTTGGTGGCATTTTAAGTCTAAGTAAAATAATTAAACAAAGAAGAGAATGGAGGAACTTTGCGTATTGTTCGCTATTACGCTTGGAACTCTGCGCCTGAGTATGACATCACTCCTGGATGCTACTTGGTTTCTTGTGACGCAGATGTGATAGTGCAGTAGAGCCTGGCATCTTTTGGCTACATTTTTAACTACTAGTTTGAAATCCTTTATAGGCGGTATCAGTAACACACAGTTTGCTTCTGCTAAAGGCACTTTTACGCAAGTTTATTGTGTACCAGGGGTGCAGGAAGGTCAGACTGCGACTCACAAGGCTTTTGCCATAAGCACTGGAGCACAGAACTGAAAGAGTTGCAAAGATCTGACCTTGGATGGTAAGTTGTTTAGGATACACTGACTCTGTTGGTGAGGTTTGCTGTTGATACAGTTAAACCTTCAGGTTCTGCTATGTCCATAGAGATTGATTTTATTACTCGGTTGTTTAAAGTCCATCTTTTGTAATTACTGCTGCTTTTGCTATATTTACTGCATTTCAGAAGAAATACACGTTCCCCCAGTCTTCCAGACTTACTCAGTAATCATATATTGCATAAAAAGTGTATGATGTTTAAGTCAGAAGACCTGAAGCAAAGGTTATTTAGTAGAATAAAGCTGTCCTCCTGTACTCCCACTCATTGTTAACCTTGACACTGGATTGGGTACCCATTAGATAGACTTGCTGACAGATGGGATGATAATATTAAGATGAATTTTAAAAACATATTACATTAAACTGACTCAGTTTATGATCCAGACTACAGACCGGAGAGCCATAGAAGAAGAAGAAGAAGAAGAAGTGGGCTATAGTGGTCACAGGAATCAATATATAGGTTCTTTGGAAGTTTAAGATTTTTGATCAACTGACTATCTATCAGGTTCTCAGAAAGGAGTTTGCTTCATGGAATTAGTTCATGTGTGTTGTATGAGGTACGTTGAACATGATCGGCATTGCACTGTAATCATTACAGGTTTGTTATGCGGTGTGTGGACAAATCACATATGCAGACAAAGGAAGTGTCAGGTGAACGGGAGGGGGAGCTGCTAGGTTCGCTTGTTAGGCAGATGACTGACATTAAGGAAAATACAGAAACTCATCTGGCCATACGTCACAGTAGCATGCCGATGTACTCTTTACGGGTCCATCATCTGCTTTGTGGTATAGGGGTTTATGTGTTCAGTTCCCGGCTGACAAACATTAATTAGGCTGTTCTTCTGGAACTGATTGTGGGATCAGTGGAGTTTGCTAAAACCAAATTACTAATAAATCCTTTGAAAATGTGGTTTGGAAGTGACAGTAAAACAGCACAATGACAGTCATTACAAAATTAGGAGCATTTACTTTCAGAAGAAGCCAAACTTCATCTCGCCATTTCATTGTTTTGGGTCATTATCTTCTGGTATGTGACGGTGTGTAGCATTCTAGGTGATTGCCAACATATCAACTCCATTTTCAGAGCAGAAGTTAGCTCCTCCAAAATGTTTTTGACTGCCTACATGGCATTGCAACCCAAAAATTAGAACAAATTCTCACTGCCATTGAAATCTCAAATCTCATTTATTAACATTTTCTCATTTCAAACTTAAAGATTAAAGTACATATATGTGGAGACAAGACATGCATACAAAAATTTATTGGAAGTTTGAAGAAGGGGAGTACAAGGTATACTAGGACATTAAACTGAATCTTGGAGAAACAGTTTGTGAAAGTGTGATCTAGATTGAAGTGTCATGTGTCTTTTGTCGTCAGACATATAACTTCTTCAGCATCTGTTCAACTGTCCACTGCCCAGCGAACACCCTGTTGCATGCAGTTAGTATAAAATAATGTTTTGTCCGCAGCCTGAAGAAGAAAACTCTCGAAGGGTGCATCCCACTGGAGAAGGTGAAGGTGCAGCGGAGTGTCATTCCCTCAAAAGACAACCCTCCACCGGAGATGAATGACTGGTTATACCAATTCAAGGTATGACATGAACTCAGGTTTGTCAGACTGTCAAAACATGGAGTAGCGCTCTCTGTTTAAAATGCAAATCTTCTCATTTGGAAGATTCCAGAATTCTGCCTGTGCCCTTGCAACTGAATTTTTTATATCTTGGTGGACATTGCAGTTTCACCATATAGTGGGTTTCTGGTTTTATTGCCATCCTGTGCACTGTTTCCTTTAATATGTGCAGATCGGAATATGTGAAAGAACTTGGTAGGCTGGGAAGCCAGAAATGTGTGCAGAATTTTTGATTGGTGACATGTTGGTTGCTCTTACAGAAATATGTTATAGTAATGCATTGAATTGGCTGAGGTCAGAAATTTGCCCTGTGTTCGTCACGCTCATGGTTTTGTATTGTTGCAGCGATGGTCAAATGCCGAGCGACTGCTGGCTATCGATCAGCTGATCGAGACATGTGAGCCGACGCAGGTGCGACACATGATGCAAGTGATAGAGCCCCAGTTCCAGAGAGACTTCATATCTCTTCTTCCAAAGGAGGTGAGGGCTTCCAGTTGCTTGCGAATGACCTTAAACTCATGATGCACTTTTGTGAGCCATGATACTTTTGTCAGTAAGGTGACTGCTTCA